TAAGAGTTAAATGTCAATATCATAAGGATCAAATGTTTGATTCAAAATGTTGTTTTTTGAAGTCAAATTCATAGTTGAGTCATTGTATTATTTTGGTAAAAGCATTAAAATGTACGAATGGGGAAATAGTATGATGAGACTATTAGAGATCTTTCTCCAGAATTCCAAAATCTTTGTGCTGTTGAACAGTACTAGAATAAATGTTCTAAATTTTCCTCATTTTAACAATATGTTATTTAAGTTATTTTTGTATAAAAATAAATTTGTTGTTACAATTCTGTGCAAGATTTTGAACTGAAAAATTCTCATTTCTAAAATAATAATGACTGAATACAGCTATAGTTGATTCTGTATCTATAATTTTAACAACCCAGGAAAGTTTTATTGCTTTGTTCAACATTTCAATATCCACCATACGAAGGCCTCCTTGATCATAGTTACCAATTAGGGTATTACGCTTTATATGATGTTTTTTTTAACCCGCCTCAAAAAAAAAAAAGAATAGCAAAGACCTAGCCTTATTAATAACATTACTCGGAGTTGAGATCGCAGTCATAGAATACACAAGATTTGCTTTGATGTTATGGAATAGCGAATTTAGAAAGTGCTCACATTGAATACAAATACATGGTAACATCAAATGCGTCTTGTACAAAAACATTCACACTGATACGATATACGTGGCTTTCATTAATCAAATTAAAGAGATTTTTTTAAACGTTTCAACTCTATAATCATGTGACGCTATGTGACAATACATATATAACCTTGATGCATTTCACCAATTTATATGCTGAATGAAACCACTATATATAATTTTATACATCTGTCACCGTAACGCCATAAGTTACAGCGGTATTTTACGAGGTATTTTCATCCTACCATATTAGGAAATGTGAATTCCAAATATGGAATAATTACGCGCGTAAGCATCCTCTAATAATAAAATAAACATGGCTGCCACCAGAGTTTGATCGGACTCGACGCAAAGAATTTTGCTGATTCTGCGCTGAACATTTTGGATTTCGGCATTCCCATGGTGTATCCTTGAAAGGAAAAGATGTATACTAATAAGGTTATTACGAGGATACCCCAAAGTATGCACTCAGACAGTACGCCGCACATCGACCTCCGATGCGCGTCGGTCAATACTCCAGCTGCACTGTCTTCACACTTCTAGCATTAATATGTACAAGAGATAAACATCACCAGATAGCAGAATTTATTATATTATATTAGCAGAATTAAAAAACAAACAAAAAACAATTACATTTGAAATGAGCATTTACTAATTGCACCCCAAATCCTTAAAAAATACGATCATATTGTTTAGGAACATCAGAGACGAGTTGACGTGAATTTTATTTTTTTGTTTAACATGTGTACTGGCACAAGTTAATACAAGTTTCACTTGACTAATGTCTGGCGAGTCGGTCTGTTTTGAAAGGTTTTCTTTACGTTTTTCAGAATAATGTGATGCGTGGTAAGGTACCTTTCCTTCAGTTGACTTGACTGAGTAGTAAAGTACATGCGTTTAGTACTCACTCTAGGTTGTGGTTTGACATTTCCAGTGAATCTCTCCCACGTAGACATTCCCTACAGATGTCAGCATTAGTTGCTGCCTCGGTGCTTGCCTAAGAACATGCATAGATGCATCACGTAACTGGTATTCTATAGTCAATGACAGGGTTTCTACAGTCTCTCCTAGTAAAGAAATATGATCGATGTTGATACCAGTGACTTGACATCCTTAGATGAAAGACTGAATATGACAATTTTCTATATCATTAAGAATAATTCTTCATTTTGAACATTGATCATTACTTTCAACAATATATTAAATTTGCCTCAAGGCATCGCTGATGAACCTGTCCTGGACTGACAGACTGTTCTGATGAATAATGTTCGTTTTTTATTTAAATTACTGTATCATTTTGGTATAATAACGTAATATTATATCAACGTATTTGAAATCAAAACCATGATGAAGTAGAGTTGGTTTATCTTCAGGTGCAAAAGGTAGATTCGACAATGTGTTGAATGACATTGATGCCACTATCTTCAATCACATCTGAAGTATATATGTATCTCACGCTCATGTAGCATGTGTTGTGTCCACAGCAATATCCATGTGTCTTAGGAACAGTGGCTTACAATTACTTCCTGAAGAAATCAAAAACGACAGAAAATCCCCGTGAGCAATCACAAAGCGCTTCACAAACTTTATTGAGTATTATGAATAGATGATAAAAGTTATTTGCATGTGTTTTGCTTTTTTTGCGGGAAAAAAACATAACAGAAAAAGTCCGAACTAATGCATATACCCTCAGAAATGGTTTAAAATGGAAACTTCCGGTTTTACCTAAATCAAAGGTGACTGTCAAACAAGTGGACCAATTACAATTGTGAACGTTGGATGCACCCGTTCTCATCGTTTCAAATGTACTGGAGACGTTTTAGAAGTCTACTGATGTTCAAGTTCTAGGTTGGCAAAGAAGTGGCAGAAGAAGAAAAAGTTTGACATTGTGAATTTCTATGCACTTGCTCCATACATGTTGAAAACGAAATTCCGGAAGGTGAGGTTAATAGTTTTGTTTGTAGTGATGTATGGCATTGAGACCAAATCATTAGGCAGTAAAATAGACTATGTGATCTTGTACACTGATTGTCGTGGGTTTGAATCTCCCACTAGATGAGTTCTTCTGACAGTTTTCTTTTCTTTATTTTAACGGCAAATGCAATCAAAATAGTTAACGTGTTAAACATTACACGCCCTCCAACTACTACAAAGTCCCTGTCACCTGGTTCTTCTGCATTATTAATCACGCAGTGTCTCAGTGACTCCTCACACTAGACTAAACTATTCAGATGCAAATACAGTAAACGTGGTCCCTTCAATTTGTTAACGAAAACAATAGGGTCCAACGAACTTGAACCCCATTAATGTCATACAATAATACCGAGTTTGAATAAAACCACCTTCGAAATTTGGATTTTGTGAAAAATAGCAAGACCAACAAAATCAAACAAAATGATTACCAGAATATATATATATGAAAGAAAGCAATGAGTATCAGTAAACCGCCATATGTTCTTGACAGAAACCGCTGAAATTCACATGGAAATGATATAAACCTTAGAACTACACACAGTAGATTGATTACTTTTTAATTAGCGATGACTTACAAACAAAACAAATAACCAGAATGCTTATATCCAATGCACAATACCAGACCATTCTGTCATAATATTGGAATTATCATGGGAGGAAATTAAAAATGGAACCACCGCACTGGAAAATTAATACTAGTCTACTACGTGATAAAAAAAACTGTGATTTGATTGAAAGTAAAATTGGGTTCAAGAGGCTACAGATTTGGTTGACTCAAGACGTATCTCAGATTTAAGCGAAGAGAAAGCTGAAAACCATAGGTCTAAAATTTCGATTTGTGTGAAATTAGCAACCCATTCCCAACAGATGTAGACCAGTTGGAAAATGTAAGACACCAGTTGCATGAAGAGTACACTATATATCACATTACACAAGATGAATCTTATATTGCGGTAATGCGGTAAAGTCCTTTCCTGCCAAAGGAAACGATGGCTTGTCAGCATAATTCTGTGTTTTTACAGTTTTGACCTCAACTCGGTAAACTTGTAGTAAACAATTTCTTATGGAAAGGGCCATACAGGATAGCTAGAAAACATGGCCGGCGGACTCTCGATATCTGATATAAAAGCGATATATGCATCAAAAAGAATAAACTGATTGTGTGATGAGGCTACCCATGGAAACCTTTTTACATTAGAAAGCCCAAACCACTGGTTGAAATATTACAATTTTATAAAACAGTAATTCCCATCAAACCTAATGGCTTTATTCTGCAAATTTTGAGTAAGTTTACTTCTGAGGTTAGCCCAGCAAATCAAAATGATATAACTAAACAAGTTATCAGGAACAATAAGCACATTATGTTGGGTGGGAAATCACTTTTTAGGCCAGAATTTAAGGATGTAGGATATGTTTGTGTTATAATACATGTGGAAGGAGAGGGGTAGCAGAATATTGTATTTGGTCTGGGTTAATCACAAGTATATATAGTGAAGAAATCATTATTCCAAATAAAGATATAAACATTGTACTAGATACCTCGACTTATACAACTGCAGAACTAGAAATGTATATAAAGTTATTATACACCGTGTCCCAAAAGTTGGTTAACCTTATTGTTCAGGCATTTACCCCCATTATTCTCACATCCGATACCATCTGGTCAGCCATCTGGAATCTGGTTGTCCATGTGTGGGCTGATTGCATAAAATGTTTAGAATATATCAGTATGTCTCACTGGCTTGGGAGATACCCACATGACCATACCATGGGCAAAGTCAAATCTGGACATCACAGACTTTCTGATTCCCAGCTCCGTGCTCAAGCTGTTGCCCTTTCTAGTGTGGGGAAAACTTGTGATGAGGTTGCCATATTCTTGGGGAGGACTAGATGATGGGTTTTGAACTGGACCAAGCGTCACAAGCAAGGTGCAGGCCTTGAAGATAAGCCCCGATCTGGACGTCTCGTGTGCTCACTACCAGAGCCAGGAACATCATCAGGAAGGCCAAGGAGAAGGTGACAGCCATGCAGGCGGTTGAGTCGCGTACTAAAAAACATTGACGAGGAAGGCTTTTAGAGCACTGTTCATCGCTATTTGACCCAGAAAATTGGTTTGAGGGCATACAAGAGGCCCAAATATCACGACTGACAGAGAAGGGGAGAAGCTGTCTTTCGCCAGGAAGTATGCCAGCTTGACCCCAGAGGATTGGAAGAACTGGATTTTTTCCGACGGGTACCCCTTGTATTTGTTTCCGATGCCCAACAGTCAAAATGACCAGGTCTATACTGATAGTCCTGAGCAGGTGAAGTTGAGTGCCCATACCACTGGCTGTCTGAGCTTCACATAGTGCCACAAAGGACCACATTAAACGCTCAATAATATCTGCAGGAGATACTGGAACCGACACTGATGCCCATTATGAGCAGAAAGAAGAGGAGTGATCTTGTCACCAGTCGGAAGATGTACAAACGACGCTCGGACATGGTGTTCATGCAGGATGGTACACTTGCTCATACCACCCATGTGAGCCAGGAGTGGTGTTCCAGGAAACTTCCCGGCTTTCCCGTAAATAGGAATGGCCCCAATCCAATGGAGAACTGCTGAGGGATACTGAATGACAGAATCTTCAGCAGCCGACCCTCTATGTCCATGAAGCGATTAAGAGAATTTCAGTTTAAAATAGCACACAATATTCTGTATAGAAATGAAACTCCATGTAAGATGACACCTCCTATAGTTGAATCAGACAAATGTACTTTTTGTTCATCTAATACTGAAACATTGTGACATATTGCTGTTGCCCTTTGTAGTATGGGCAAAACTTGTGAGCTGGTTGTCATATTCTTGGGAAGGACTAGATGATGGGTTTTGAACTGGACCAAGCGTCACAAGCAAGGTGCAGGCCTTGAAGATAAGCCCCGATCTGGACGTCTCGTGTGCTCACTACCAGAGCCAGGAACATCATCAGGAAGGCCAAGGGCAGAAGGTGAAAGCCATGCAGGCGGTTGAGTCGCAGACTGAAAAACATTGACGAGGAAGGCTCTTAGAGCACTGTTCATCGCTATTTGACCCAGAAAATTGGTTTGAGGGCATACAAGAGGCCCAAAATATCACGACTGACAGAGAAGGGGAGAGACTGTCTTTCGCCAGGAAGTATGCCAGCTTGACCCCAGTGGATTGGAAGAACTGGATTTTTTCCGACGGGTACCCCTTGTATTTGTTTCCGATGCCCAACAGTCAAAATGACCAGGTCTATACTGATAGTCCTGAGCAGGTGAAGTTGAGTGCCCATACCATTGGCTGTCTGAGCTTCACTTAGTGCCACAGGGGACCACATTAAACGCTCAATAATATCTGCAGGAAATACTGGAACCGACACTGATGCCCATTATGAGCAGAAAGAAGAGAAGTGATCTTGTCACTGGTCGGAAGATGGTTTATGCAGGATGGTACACCTGCTCATACCACCCGTGTGAGCCAGGAGTGGTGTTCCAGGAAACTTCCTGACTTTCCCGTAAATAGGAATGGCCCCAATCCAATGGAGAACTGCTGAGGGATACTGAATGACGATACTGAAATGTACTTTGTGTTCATCTAATACTGAAACATTGTGACATATTTCGTTATGAATGCATAGATGCATCTATTACGGGAATCATTCTTTACGGAATAAATTAAATCTACATAGATTCCCGACCCTAAACAAGTTTTGCTGGGTGACGAAGACTATCCTTGTCTGTTATCCTTATCTCGATGGCAAAAGAGCATATAGTATAGAAAATACAAATTTTACTTTATTGCTTATAAAAGGTAGGTTCAATACAAGCTGAGCTCTAACATCAATAAGTGGGGTAAATTCGTGAATTGTATTAAGTCTACTCACAAAAACCACTGTAATGTCCTTTTAATAGTATTAAATTAATTACCAGGTATATGCTATGTAAACTTTGAAAGTGTGCTCCAATAAAAAATAGTTCTAAAAACAAAAAACGTCATATGTTTGTTTGAATGAAATTCTACAATACAAATTTTGCGTTTTAAAAGACGAAAATGGAAAGACGAAATTCAGCTAAATATTATCCAAACCAAAATGAATTGATGTAAGCTATGGAATCGTGTATCCAGAAATAGGTATATTTTTCCTTGCCAACGTCTCTCGTCCATCATCCTCATATAATATACATCTCAATGATTGAGTCATCTTAGCTATTTAATAAAAGTATTGTGATGATCAAAAAAAGAGAGAACAGGGGAAGCCATATTATGTCAATCATATTGTTCGTACTCTCACATGAGAATTAGTTTTTAAGACAGATCATTATTTTAATGCGAGAGTCGTGACGTCCAGCCTACCTATAAGATATTG